AAAACTCTCCAACATAACAAACTTTATATGATGCAAATAAAATTTGATAACAATTTGATTTATGGCTTGGTTTAGTGATTATTTTAATTTGGTGATTGATTTATTAGATTTTTTTACTTGTTAATTATTTTTAACTTTGTTTTTAGTGTTTGTTTTAATTTAATTTTTTTTTTAATTAGAGAAAAATGGAAGAGGTATGTATGAACAGGCGATTCAAAGTTCTCAAAGGGAATATTTCCTTGAAAACAAGTTCTAGAGGAATATTCAACTTCCATGAATGCATGTTCAAAAAATACCATGTAAAACTGGAAGGTTTAAAAGTACTTTATTACTATTTTAGTTTTCTTGACATTTGATCAACGGCATATGATGAATTGTGATAGTAGTAGGCATTACTTGCAAATCACTGTGTAATGGATTTCATCTTAAAAATTTCCATCAGTTGCTTTATTAGTCACTGTGACTACTTAATGTAAACTATTACCTACTTATGACTAGACTATTACCTACCCATGATTTAGATTGTTCCTACTTATTTTAGATACCCATTTTTAGTGCTTATTATTTGTTTCTTTTCACTATAGTTATTTGGCTTTCAAACACATTTTTCTTGCCTGATACTGAGGCACTTGCACCAATTACAAGGGATACACCCAAACTGGATGCAAAGCATTCCATTGTGCAATGATGTAATTTTTCATAAAATGGACTTTTTCGTGACCAAATGGTGCAATTGATCAAGTAGTTTGGTAGATTGCTTCGAAAACCTATGAATAGACTGCTTGTTATTTCCACCTGTGGTCAAAAAAAAATATACATTAGTTTTGCTTTTTATGTTGCATTCAAACTCAAGGATTGAGGCACGTAATGCCAAAATGATTTTTATGATGCATTTGAATGCAAGGTTGAAGCGCATAATGCTGAAATAGTAATCTGATATTCAATCTTCCAGGAAGTAAGGCATTTGGATGCCAATGAAGTGTTGATTCGGGACACTTTGCTTGAAGTCCTCCATTAACATCGATCAAAGGATCTTGACTTTGATTCCTACCTTAGTGAAGGTCATGATATAGCGCAACAGATAATGACACATTTGTATATAGTATATATGAGATAGTAAATTGGTAACCGGCTTGAGGTCCCAATTATCATCAATCATTTCCTTTTGTATTATGGGGATGTATGTACTGGACGAAATCATGTAAAAGATCATGTTATCTGTAATACTCCAAGAATATTTAAACACTTGGAAATTGCTTGGAAAAAAAGATTGATAGATGATCATGTTAACAACTGATTTAATAATTAACTAGTTCACCTTTAACACTTTGATAGTAAAAATAAAATAGTCTTTGACTGTAATTATTTAATAAAAATAGTGTGATTGATTAATGTTTGACCAACCTTTAATTATTAGTTAGGAATCCTTTTAATTAATTAGTTATATTACCAAGGGGATGCATTTTGAATACAAGTGTATACAGTACTTCAAGGGAAACCTTAGTTAGAGTCCAAGTGGTAAGTATGTCAGGATTTGATGTCGGATAGAAGGCATATTTGTTGGTTATAATTCGGGCAAAGTAAGGCCTAACCGTGTGCCGAACATAAGGACTACCTAGTAAGTAAGTAGCTCGTATAGCACACGCGCAGCAGTATATTCTTGTTTATGTAAGTCTACTGCATGTTTTTAACATCAATATTTAATAGTTTCGTGTTCGCTTAGAAGCTCCGAGTTGAATCAATCAGATTATAATATTAAAAGAATGTTCGCAATCGATACAACTATATATATCATCAATAGACTCTTCAGAATGCATCAATATGCGCTAGATTGGACGTGATAAGTGTTAATTCTGAATTTCCAATAGTCTGAGTTATATTTCCTGTTAATTCCTTTATTTGATACAGGATAGAAATGCTCATTATAGACACACAAGTTCGATGGCGTTTTGAAAATTCTGAAGGCGAAAAAAAAAGAGCCATCAAACAATAAGAATTGTAGAGGAAAAAAATCCCCCAATACCAAAGATGTTGATGATAAAGTGAAACTTGGCTGTAATGTCATTTGAATCTTAAATAAAATGCTCGAAGCGGTTCCTTGTAAGATGGAGTGTGCATACATGATTCTTCCCTCACAGAAAAATGTCTTGAAAATGGTCAATTCAGTGAACAAGTCTGCTGAAGATGGGAAGGTGAATAAATCTGAAGTTTTTTTTCGCGATAACAAGACGTAACCATGACCATGATCATGTAATATATTAATAGCTACGAAATTTAATCTACTGTTCTGATATGTATAACCAAATAGCAAATTTTTTATGCTTTTATATGTCTTTTATCTTGCATTATTATTTAGCCGACCTCTTGATTTAGCCTTATGACTGAGACAATAAAGTTTCACCCATATTAAGGTTTATCTTTTAACCACATGTGCAGGTGTGATATACTTTCCCAAAAATATGAGTCGTTGGCATAGTCATGTGTAAGAATGATTGACGAAAGGTCTGAGTTTATGAAGATCTATATGACGAAACTCTGTTTATCGCTAAGGGTCTTTTGGCGAAACTGACGAAACTTGACGAAACATAACAATAAAAAAAGGCTTTACGACAAATGGATTGAACAAAAAATTCAATACACTTGATTTATAACTATTATAAACCTAAAACACTACTAACACAATAAATTACTAAATAACCCAATGAGTAATAAATGCATTAATAGATCTGGTATGACGTGAAAATATTGCTCTAATTATACCAGTTATGGTTCTAAGAAATTTGAACGACTCTTTGAAATTGAAAGATTATATGCATTGTTAAGCTGAAAAGCAATGGACATAAAAGAAGAGTTTATCATGTGCATTGTTTATTGCATCATTTGTAAATGGCAGGCTAATATATTATGACTACTACAGATCTAAGCCACATAATGTTGCAATATGTTTGGGTTGTATGCAACTTATGCAAGTTAGTAATGCGAAGCCGAAAAAACATTCCACGTCATTAAATGTAGGTACGTAGAATTGATACAATATCACTGGGATAATGAGTGTAGTAAACTTAAAACCGATCCAGGATGCGCAAGAGTTATACAACGAGCTTGGGAAAAAGGCCTGCATCCAAAGTTTAGAATGCTATGAAAAATGAAAAGAAATATTTGGGCCTAGTTCCTCGTAAGATGAAGAATCCTGAGACTCAACATCAACATGCTTTATTTATTCAGTGCTGACCCATTCATTTTTTAAAAAAATTTGACAAAGGAAAAAATACGTTTTATTTCCTTTTGCCTAAACAAAACTTTGGTATTTTTACAAATGATTCTGTTTCTTTCTCGCTTAGAACCAGAAATAAATCTCGAATTAAACCAACCTTCGAAATACTAAATCGATCAGACTCAGAAGGTAAGTAACATTAATACACGCCCAGCTTTTTTATCATATTACAATTAATAAAAAGGATTATGGCTGATTATTACACCATCATTATCATTATTAAGTGGTTTTGTGAAAGATAAGAATCTAATTTTTCTGTTCAGCTCTAAAGTGTGTAAAACTATATTAAAATCATCAAAAAAATTATTCAATTATATAGCATTTAGTATTTTTAAAAACTTATATTCCTAAAATTTTGTTTACGCTCACATCCTTCGGCGCACAGATGTCTATTGGAGAAAAGGACAATTGGAACGATTATAATTTTTTTAATATTTGGGCTCAAAAGGTTTCATATATTCCATCATTATTTCCGTGTTCGTATCCTTGATAATGTTGAAGGTTAATTATTAAAGCTAGAAAAACCAGATTGCAATGGAAAATTTAGAGTGGGATTTGAATTTTATTAAAATTGCACCTGTCGAGATCTTTCCTATGTTCATGAAAAGGTTTCATCGAGTATATGACATAGGATGAAAAATATATTATTATTATTATTATATATATTAATGAACCCCAGAAATTTCGTTGCTTTTTACTTCCCTAAATTATTTATTATATTTCAAAAGTTTTAATGGTAATATACCCTGAATTTTTAAAGAAGCTATAAGTGGATAGGGACTTGTTATTGAAAATTTGAATTTGTGTTTATTTCGGTCATTTACTATTCAAAATATTGACTATTAACTCACTATTATTAAAAAACTTAGTATTCCAAATTAACTTTATACCTCTTATTCACAATATGTTTATATATTAACCTTAAAAACAATAGTGAATGTTATTTGTGACACTTCCATTATGTCTCGTTTGAATAAACCCGATTGGTGTATTAGGTTTTTTTTTTGAATGAACTAGTAAATATCAAGTATTCCAATGAACCTTACAACAGCAAATTATAAATTATCTCTTAAACGGTCAAAGTACTCTTTAATGGTAACACGAAATAATTTTTTGATCACGACCTTGCATTCTTATTGGCTAATTTAACAATCTGCAAAGTAAAAATAGTCAATCGACTAAAATTTTACGAAAACCACAAGGACAACAACCGAAATTTTATTTCACAGATCAATCAGCCGAACCTCAAAGATCATTTTTGTATTAAGAAGTGATACTTTCAGAAAAAGTTTTTTTATAACAGAAAAAATTCCAGCTGTCAATGGCCGAAAACAGTTTAAAGGATAATAGGGTTGTTACACAACGTAAACATTCATGCATGCATGACGAAACTGGTTTTATAGTTATCTAACCAAAATAATTATTATGCGTAACTTGTAGAGAATTTCAAAAAAAAAATGTATTGTTTATTTTTTAAATTTTAAAAAGTCTGGGGAAAAAACAATAATGAAGTATGTATGCAGTGTTATGTTATACGAGTAAAGATGTTCGTAATAAATCCAAAAATGACATAGATCGAAAAATTGTCTTCTTATTCATACATTGATAATCAAATCTTAATATTCTCAAGATATATATATATATATATATAGAGAGAGAGTAAGTAGTATAATATTAATTTTTAAAAAAAATTTTTTAAACGAAATAAATTTTAATAAAAAACAAAATGTCTTCAATTGCAATTTTAGGATGTGGAAACGTTGGATTTTTTCTAGCAGCACATTTAATTCATAATAATCATCATGCAATAGGAAATCCATTAAATAATAATAAAATACTATTAGTTGGAGGACAAAGATTATTCGACGATTTAAATAATTCAAAAAAACTTTTATTAACATTAAATAATCAATTTGGTGAAAATGAAGACGATGAAATTATTGTGCCAAGAAATCAAATTGATTATACAACCAATCTTAAAGATTTAATTAATTTTCAACCAGATTATATCTTGGTAACTTTGAAAAGTAATAAGTTGAAAGAAGTTTTTCGAGAATTAAAGGAATTAAATGGCAGTAAAACTGTGGTATGTTTGTAATAATATAATGTACTTGCATAATATAGAAATATTCCTTCATAAGATTAATATATACATATTTATATTTATTTAATAAAGATTGTAACAATTCAAAATGGAATTCATAATGCCGACACAATTCAACAATTACTCCCAAACATTAAAATAATTAGTGGTGTCAACTACTACAATATTCAATACAATCAAGATTGCCATTTCACTAGAAAAGGCTCCTATAATGACGGGTTGATAATTCTTGAAGAAAAACCAGAAACAAAACAAATCATGGAAATTTTCAAGCAATCCGAACTAACTGTCAAGACTACAACGCAGATAAAAAATGTACAATATGGTAAACTTTTGTTAAGTTTATCAAATTCTATCATAGCATTGAGTGGTTTGACACATGAAGAATATATGAATTCAAAATCATTTCGAAAGATTCAAGCATATTGTCAATGGGAAACAATTGAACTATTCAACCATTATGGGATTTCACCAATCACATTTAATTATTCATTACCTCCGAAATCTGTTCCTTATTTATTGGTAGCTCCTGACTGGCTAGTCCAACCAATTAAAAACAACAATAATTTCATAATAAGGACAGAAGAATTCAATATGTCACAAGATTTCACGCTGGGCAAAATGACTGAAATTAATGAATTACAAGGTGAAATTATTAAAATGAGCAAAATGAAAATAATAGAAGGTGGCATTGACAAAGTCCCATATAATCATGGAATTTATAAATTGGTTAAAGAAGTTGAAAAGAAAATCAATAGTAGTGATTGTAAAAGATGGACTCATGGATTTAGTGCCGAGGAAATATTAAAATATATCAATAATGGCGAATTGCCAGAGATCTTGAAAATAAATTAATTAACTTTATTTTTTATGTATATTTTCTATTATAAATACTTTTTTAATCATAATTTCACAAATATATAAAATAATAAATTCTTTGTATTAATATAATTACATATATTTTTTAAATACTGTTCCCACCAATTTTGTTTGAGGAAATTATAATGTATGTTTTAAGATTATTCACTCCATCTTATTATGGAAATTTAATTGGGAAACTTGTATAATTAACTTGCAGTTGTTAAATTCCATACGTTATGGATGCTGTACCATTTAATATTTTAATTTATGATTGCTCCTAGCTATCACAATTGCTTTCTGGTTCATACATTTTTAATATCTTGTTTGATCTATCACGTCCCATAAACTTTCAACCAGTACAGCGCTATTATTATTTATATTATCAATTGTTAGAATGACAATGGACTATTAAAAATAATAAAAAACAAGCCTATTAAGAATAACAACCACTAACCAGTTTGCCATCAGGTAATCTGTTGGTGTACCTGTACAATCATTACGTTAACACAATATCAACCGATGATATTAAATCACCACCCTTGTTTTGACAGGGTCAGAATTATGTCATTTCGGACTTTTTTGACTTCTGATATCAATCATTCAATTATAAAAACGTGTGGTTCCGGATTGGAAAGAAATCTATCAAATTTATTTCAGAATAATAATAAAATATTAAAATATTTATTTTAACATTATCAACTACTCATTATTATTATAAATAATCATATTTAAATTAATAAATTTCAATCAATTAACTATTTAATTTGCCTTATTAAAATTATATTTCATTAATATCAAGGTTACTTAATAAACTATCATTGCTTTTTAAATTCAATTTAGCAAATTCATCATTTACATCATTTAATATTCTACTTGTATGATATGTTAATGGGTGTGATTTGTGAATTTGTTGTAAATTACTATTATTATTAATATTACTATTATTATCACCACTAACACCAATATTACTACTACTTTCATTAAGACTCTCAGTTTTAGGTTTATTAAGAGAAAATTCCCAAAGTTTTCTAATAATTGGTCTCTTGGTTGGATCCACATCCCAACACCTTTGCATCATTTGTGCACAATCATCAGGTATTCCTGGTAATATTGGTGGACGTAAACCTTCACATATTCTTAATTGCAAATGAAAATCATGTGCTTCATCATCAAATGGTGGATGACCTGCAAATATTTCCCACATTAACATCCCAACACTATAAATATCTGATTCTTTTGTGTGTTTTTTCCTCTAAATAGTTCTGGTGAAATATAAGATACAATTCCATAAATTTTATTTGATGATTTTTTATCAACTGGTCCACATAATCCTAAATCTGCGATATAACAAATACCTCCTTGCAATAATATATTACCACTATGTAAATCACAATGAATCAAATCTTTTTGATCTATAAAATATAATGCAAGACATAAACTCCTAAAAATATTGATTCTATCTTTTGATGTTAAATTATAATGATTATTTTGTATATAATCTCTTAAATTTCACTCTTTTAGATAATTAAGAACTGTTGCATAATTTCCATTTTCTGGGAATTTAGTTATACCATGACATTTGACAATTGTGCATGTTGCTTTAATTTTACAATAATTCAATGCCTGAAACTAATAATTATTATATATATAAATAAAATTAATTAATTAAGAATAAATGGTTTAGTTTATTTTTAAATAAAAGCAATTACCTCATCAAAAAAAGGTTTTCCTGGATTACTTGAATCATTTAATGATTTTAATATTACTCGCTGAGCTCCAAAATAATTAAACACCTTTTTATTTTCATCATAGTCATCAGTAACTCCTCTTCTCCACCCAACAGTATAAATAGAATTGAATCCACCTTCTGTTAATTTTTTTATATTGTGAAATTGCTAATAAGGTATTCATTCTATAATTCTACCTGGAAGAGATGAAAGCTGTTGACATTTTTGAATAAAACTATCAATTATCTCATTTCCAGATGTTCAAGTACTGAAAAGACTCTGTAAGTATAGACTAATACAATTTTCACAAAATTTATCAGAGAATCTTGCTGCTTTACAATTATTGCATTCTCTTGGTTCACCCTGTTTAAGAATTGCATTGCCTAATTCAAAATTATGAATAAACCTTTCTCTACAATTTTCATTTTCATTTTCATTTTCATTTTCATTTTCTAATAGTTTTTTGTTTTCTTTGACTAATTGTAAAAAATAACCTTTTTTATTTTCATCGTCAGGAACAGTTGGAAAAGCAGATCAAGTGATACTATCCATTTCATTATAAATTTTAAATACTAATTCTTTTCTGTCTCGTGTTAATAACTTAGTGTATGACATTTTAACTTTTTTTTATAAGTAAATTAATAAATATAAAATTTACATTTCTTTTTGCAAATATAAATTACCCATGTGTAGTTTCCACTAAAAATATCCATCCACTAATATTTTTCCCATAAGAATATCCGATCCACTAAAATAAAAATAAAATGTAGTTAATTTATATAACATTTCTCAACTTCAGACACTGCAGTATAAAAATCCAAACATAAAATTATTTGGCATTATTAACCTCCAAATAATTATTTTATTGTAATAAAAGTACACCATAAAAAATAAATAAATAAATATAGTAGAATACAAATAAACTTTTATAAGTTATTTTCTTTTTTTTCAATCCATGAATTAATAGCATCAATTGTATTATTACATTTTGGTGCATCTATACCAATATACATTTTGATACCATTGATTGGTCGAGGCCAATTTTGACTTCAGATTCCATACAAATTTCTTGAGCAATTTGTTTTTGACTTATTGCTACAATTCTTCTATGACAATCCATTACAGATTTGAATCTTTCAAGAAGAACCTTTTCTGCTTTTGTGAGTTGTTTCTTTTTTCTTTTTTCTCACTGTTGACTTGGATCACCATTTGTAGATACCTCATTTCTTCTTCTATCACTAAAAATAGCAGTAAAATAAATGAGTAAATAAATAAAATAATATGCAATAATTTCTCAATTACCTTTTTTTTGTGTATTTAATAATTTCTCTGCAATTAGGCTTTGAATTGATTTTAATTGATTCAACTCGAATAGTGATATATTGATCTATTGGTAAATTTCTTTTTTTTATGTCCATATTTTTCACAATGTTATTCTCAACTTCAACTGTAGCTGTAGCATGTCTTGTATGGCTTTTTACAGAAGGAATTATATCAGACCAAAATAATATAGTATTCCACCATGTACTTTTAAAGTATTTTTGTAATGAAGGGTTATATAAAGGGTTTAATACTAGTTGGTTAACTGTATCATATTTTATCACTTTTACATTTATGTTTAAAGTGGGAAAATTAATTGTATAGTTTTTGTTTTTTTTCCAAAATTAAAAATAATAAATCATTATTGATCTTATAATTCCGTTGATTAATCAATGGAGTTATTACTTCATCATAATCATCTTCATCACTTCCTTCATCACTCAAATTTTGTATATCAAATTCATTAGAAATATAATCATCATTAAAATGAAAAATGTCTTATAAATGACAAATTTTTTTCTAAATGAATGTTTGTTTCTCTTAACTGAAAAAATTCCTGGTTTAGAAACCAATTCCAGTTTCCTATTTCATTGATTGCACCAACAAGTGTTGCATTGATTCTAATTTTATTCCACATTTTCACTGCAAATCTTGAAATGGGGTTTTTTAAAATATTATATTCTTCGGACTTAAATTTGTTAGATCTTGTATAATTTTTAACTGCATTGATACAATGTGAATAACACCAAGCAATTACTATTTTTTCAGGATTAATTTGTTCATTATTAATTAAATTTTTTAGTATTCTTTCATTGTACTGCTTTATTGTTTCATTATTATATGCTGCAAAAGCAGCAACTACAACAACTGCCACCGCATCTACAACAACAGCAGCAGCAACAACTTCCACCACCACAACAACAAACACAAACACAAGGTGATAATGTAGAGCGACGAACGCAACAACTAACACACGGATTAATGAATCAATTAACACCGGATCAAATGCAAATGCTAGTGCAGCAATTAGCACAACAAATAATTCAACAACAAACATCGCAACAACAACAAATATCGCAACAACAACAAACATCGCAGCAACAACAAACACCAAATCCAATTGAATATTCAAATATTGGTGGCATTAATCAATCTAAAAATGTCAATATGGTTTTGGAAGCACTGAGACAAATGAATCCATCATCACCTACATCATCACCTACACAACAACCATCTGCATTCATAAATGATAATTCAGCACCATCATCGGCAGCAACTACTGCCGCCAATATTGCTCCTGCCTCTAGCATTGCTACCAATACTGTATCGTCATTACCAATAAAGGATGATGGTCATTATGGTGATAATGTCAATCTTCTTCCAATACCAGGAAGCAATGGATCTGCAAAACATGTTACTTTTAGTGATGTTGAAAATGAAATTCCGTAATTAATTAAAATATTTTAATTATATTTAATTATTAATTATCATAACATTTATTATTATTTATTTGTCATGTACAAAAAATATTGTATACGAGGATATATAGATAAACATTATATAAAAACATAAAATATAAAATTCAATTTTGATTTTTTGAGAATAATGTTTTTTTTTATTATAGTTAATTAAATAAAGAGTCTTATGACGTTACAAATATTTTATACAAAATAAAGCAACTTTATTACTAGAAAATACATTGTATCCAATAATTCAATATTAATCTTGCTTGTTTTAATATTATTTGTTTGTATAATTCTTATTCCGCCAAAGTACAGTCATCTGACCTTTTGATAGCGAACTTGACTGTTTATATGCTAACACTAATGCGAAATGAAGTAATAGCCCGTTGTCAGTGGAATTGATTTTATTGCCATCATCAGTAATTCCTCCACCAATTAAATGTATAATAAGTATTAAATTTTCTAAAAGAATATCAATCAAAATATAATAAATTATTGATGAACAAATAATCAGCCCCTGTAGCGTAAGCTCCAACACTTTTATCATAAATATTAATATTAATATTAACAATTTCATCGTCATCGTCGGAATTTGAGAATTTTGCAATTCCATTAAATACCGTCGTCTTTGAATTATCATCTTTGTTACTCTGCAACATTCTATCATCATCTTTATTAGTTAATATTTAATGATTATTCCTGACAGCATTATTTTATTAACATATTCAGCCGTGACAAACACCATATCACGTACAATTAGTAGGTTAATAATTTGCTGCTCGACAGCAGCGGTAGTATTATTTTATTGTTAGTTCTGGAAGTAAACAGAAAATTCTTGAGGATCGAAAACTGAGAAATTGGTTGGTCGACGTTAAATTCTTCTGACGACGACAACAATCCATTAGAAGACATCGTTATACTTGGAATAGACGAACTTTAGAAAAATCTAACGTGATCTGTTTCTGGATCCGGTCTCAACTTTATTTTTCTCGACTATATTCTGAATGA